GGGGGCGGCTTGAACTACAGATAGCCATATTAATGCTCAATAATAATGGTAACTGACGTTTCTCGGAGGCTTACAGCGTGTAGGGTACTGTGCTAAACGCTTTACGTGCATTATCCGATTTAAGCCTCACAAACACCCTTGCAGGGAATGCTGTTCCGAGGTTGCATTTTACAAGTCAAAGACTGGACTTGAGATTGGTGAAGTGATTTCCCCAGTGTCACTCAGCAACAAGTGGAGTTGCAGAGCCTGGATTTTATAAACACTGTATTCTTTCCGAGCTGTTTGTATTCACTCAAAACCAAAGGCGAGATGAATAAATAAGTTGTAATATTAAGTTGTAAGATTTTAAATAAGTTGCATATTCACATGGTTTTAAATTCAAGAAAGGGCTCCTCACGCCTGTTCCTCAGCTCTCCAGGTTTCTCTGGAGGCAACCAGTGTTACCAGCTTGTTGAATATTCCAAAGATACCTTGGGTGTGTGTAAGTTTATAAATCCAGATACACGTTTTCAAAACCTCTGTACTGTAACAAGCTGATTATGCTTGATGAGAAACCAGGGAAGATGAAGCCTCGGGCTTCCGAACAACAAATGTCTTGTTTTCACTCTTAACTAGGCCAGGTCCTGGTGGAGGAGAGGAAAACGTACATGTGATGTTTTATCCAGAACATCTATCTCTAGTAAGACCTAGCAGTATATAGGTTTTGTTTTGTTTGCGGCGGTGGGGAGCTAGGTAAGATGTTAAATTGCTTAACTTCCTGTGGGACCCTCGGAAAGTCACTCCACCTCTTGGGTCATAAATCTCATTTATTAGTTAAGGGCAATAGTACTGATACTTTCCTTGAAGTTCTGATAATCAAATGAAGTAATGTCTATGAGTAGTACTTGAATCTTTTAAACCAGTACAAATATGAGAGTTGCCAGAGGGAACATAGGGAATTAATGGTAGAACCGGAGACCAAACCCAGGCCTCCTGGCTTCCAATTTTGCAGTCTTCATCATACCCATTTCGGAGCTTTGTGATTGTTAATATTGAGGGCAGAAGGACAAGTTTAATGTTTAATCTCAAGTCGGGGGGAGGGGAAGGCAAGACAGCATGGAGTGTGGGTACAGACAAAAATGCACCTAGCAGGAAATTCTAGCCTCAACTCAATAACTGGCCTTAATTATAAAATTAAACCCCAGTGAGTTTGAGTCTGTGAATTTTTCTTCCATCTATTTTAAGCCAATTTAAGGGAAAGTTTATGGTAAGGATCATAGGGTTGAAAGGGTTGTTAGTAGTCCTGTCTATTCCAGCCTTAAGGCTGCTGAAAGCTTTCCTGGCCAGTATTCATAATAATAAAACTAACAAAAGTACCACCCCTGCTCAATTTCTGAGTTTCACAGCCCTCAAAGTGAGGGATAGCTTCCATTTTACAGATAGAACTGAAGTTTAGAAGTTGGTCAGAGATGCCCATGATCACGTAGGAAGTGGGTAAATCACTGAAAGACTTGACTGACTCCAAAGCATTTTCATATATGCCTCATTCTGCCTCTGTTTCTAACTGTCCTTGACTTTCCCAGTAATGGGAATCTCACCATTCTGGAGGCAGCCCCTACATTGTTGGAAATCTCCTGATGATTTAGAAGTTCCTCCTAATGGGGAGCCTGAGTGGCTCAGTCGGTTAAGTGTCCAACTCCTGATCTCAAGCACAGGTCTTTTTTCTTTTAATTTTTCTTTATTATTGAAAGATAGAGTCAGAGCGTGAGCAGGGGAGGGGCAGAGGGAGAGGGAGACACAGAATCTGAAACAGGCTCTGAGCTGTCAGCACAGAGCCCGATGCGGGGCTCGAACTCACGGACCGTGAGATCATGACCTGAGCCGAAGTCGGACGAAGTCGGATGCTTAACCGACTGAGCCACCC